ACCCCCAAAGGGGGCATGCCCCACCATTTGCCGACCCCTGCTTTACATTGATAACGCATATTGGTATGACTCGAGCTACAAGCAGTCGATGCAGAGTGTCAGTCGATGCACATCACACACTTCACACAAAAACAAGGCATAAAACATCATTGGTGTTGATTCGGTCGTCTTCCTACAGAACGTTACTTAGTTTAAACGCAGATGATCGGTCATTGATGGTCGGTTTCGCTTCAAATATATGTAAAGATTTTAAAATTCGTAAATTGAAGTTTGAGCGTTTTTGATCTATGATTTTGAAATCGTCTATACTGAAGGGGGTGTCACATGCTAAAGAATGATCCCTACAGACGATGCTAGTGGACTGGATAAGAGTTCGCCCGTTCTGTGTGACCTACCCCTGTGTTGGCAAACTCTGCTGTGGAGCCTAACATAGGTAGAACCTATGTACGATCCCTCACACGAAGGACAACTGAACTTATAAACTACAGCAGATCGACACATTTTAGGGATAGAGTCCTTGAACTTGAACAGAGATCCAATAGTAAAGTTGTTTCTGAGAATGAATCGCGGGCTTAGATATGGGTAGTACTTTTGTAGGAGAGCGCTTATTTCATTTTTGAGCTTAACTGAGCGTTTTCCGAAAAACGGCAAAGTGAAAAAGCTTCCGAGTTTTTCAACCTGTGGTTGATTTGTGATAGTAATGAAACTTCTGTTGAGAAACTTGGCTGTAGGAAGACGACTGAATCAACACGAATGATGTTTTATGTCTTGTTTTTTGTGAAGTGTGTGATGTGCATCGACTGATCCTCTGCATCGACTGCTGGGGCATTCCACGATAGATCGTACCAGGCCCGTCACCCTCATCTCTCAGATTTGAACGAAAATTGGTACAAGGGGTAATCATAGGCTCCAAAAACACCTGCCAAAATATCAGACTTCTCAGATGAAAACTTTTTGAGTTACATTGCATAATATTTTCTAAACTTCAGATTGTAAGGGTGAGTTTGATGAGCTATAACTCAAAAACGAGCTAAGCAAGCAGCAAACGGTAAACAGTTTTGAACTAACGATGAATCAAAGATTAACCCTCGCCGGACCTATTGGTTTTCTACATACGCGCCGGCCGAGGGGGGGGGGGCGGGTACGACCCCCCCCCTCGCCGTTTCGCCCCTGGTGGAGCTAGCGCGTCGCGGAAAAAACGAGCGTGTGCGCCGTTACAAGACGCAGAGATTGGTACCCGATTTTAAGGTCCTAGGTCAACCGGTGACCTCTGAGGTCAGGTCAAGTGCCACAAGGTACGGTTCAGTTTTTGGTGAATAACTTCGCAAAAAACGGTCGCAGAGCCGCAATTTTGGCAGCATCGTGTTCGCCTCGCTCAGGCGCGTCGAATGATATACTTTTCGTCCGGGTCAGGTCAACTTGGGATGTTGACCTCAGGTCAAGGTCAGGTCAGCACCCCCAGGTCACGAAGTTGGTCAAAAGAGGTCATAACGCATATCATTCGATTCGGCAGGTCTTCCTGAGTCCATTGGTGGCTTTCCCGACTCGCTAGCTCAATTTGATCAAGAGTTATTGACGAAAAACTAATATGACCTTGATGACGTCATAAATGACGTCACGCAAGGTCAACATTGCAAAAGTGACGCATCTAACCTTGCAAGGAGTGCATCAAATCACGATTCTGTGTGCTTGAGATAGTTGGAGATCGTTCCCGGCGCCAGAATAGCAGTTTTCATTTTTCCCCATTGACTTATAATGGTGAGGTCACGAAAATGACCTGACCTCATATGACCTTTAGGAAAAATCCGAGATATACAAATTGTGAGACTCATAATGGATACTAGATCCTGCAAATTTCATTTCCCTGTGACATCTCCTCTGGCAGTGAGGGCGTTGCGAAGTTGCGACATCTGAAGACCGTGCAGAGGTTCACTTATGACGTCATAGGTCAGTGACCTGACCTGACCCAAAAATGCGGTTGGTGTCAAAAGATCCGGCTTGAATCAAAGGTCAGGTATGCCAAGTTTCAGCTCTCTGTCGCCAGCATGTTCGGAGCTTTCGCGAAAAAACCCTATGGGGGGGGCGGCACCCCCCCCCCTCGTCCGGCGAGGGTTAATACAGTATTTTTAAAATTGGAAAGAAAAGCTTTACATATTGAAAACTGTTGTAGTATTTTTTTAAATTGTCTATAATGGCCCTTGGGACCAAAATTTTTGCCATTTTTATTTCTTCAAAATAAACCTCAGGTCCTTTTAAATCGACATGCAAAAAATCAGAAAGGTGTTCTTTCTATAAGTTCCTCATTTAAATGTATACAAAATGGGTTTCCGGAGGGGGGGGTCGGTACGACCCCAGCTCGCCGTTTCGCCTCTAATGGAGCTTGAACCATGCGGAAAAAACGAGCATATGCGCCGTTACAAGATGCATCGAATGATACCACATTTTAAGGTCTCGGGTTCATTGGTGACCCCTGAGGTCATTTCAAGTGACCCAAATTACGGGTCCGGTTTTTGATAGATAACTTCGCAACAAATGGTCGCAGAGCCGCGATTTTAGCATCTTTGTGTTTGCCTAGCTCCGGCGCGTCGAATGGTATACTGTTTGTTCTGGTGAAATCAGCTTAAGTCGCTGACCTCGGGTCAGCAAACTGCCGTGTATTTGGCTCCGCGCTCCGACCGGGCGGCCCAGCCGGCAGCCAGCCCCCGGGCATCACGTGACCGCCCCGAGTCCGGGGCAAAGCCAACCAGCGCGGCGCTGGACAAACAGCGCCGCTACAGAGATGGTTAACAGTCGGGTCAGGCCACGAAGCTGGGTGAATGAGATCATATTGCACATCATTCGATTCGCAAAGTCTTCCCGAGTCCATTGGTAGCTTTCCCGTCTCTCTAGCTCAATTTGATCGAGAGTTATTGACTAAAAACTCTTATGACCCTAGTGACGTACGAATGACGTCACGCAAGGTCAACAATGCAAAAGTGAGGCAAAAATGACTTCAATTAAACTTTCAGTAACCAGTGATGTCACTAGGCAGCTTTACCACACCATTTGTAGGCTCTCTTCCGAAATCACAATTCGAGACCATTACGGTGACGCAAAATAAGCACATTTATAGAAAGAACACCTTCCTAATTTTTTGCATACTACTTAAAAATGATCCAAAAATGTTTTTAAGTAAATAATTTTTTTTCTAAAAATGGTCCCAAAGGCATAAAAAATGCAAATGAAAGGAAACTCGAGGTGTTATTATATATCAAAAATAGTATATATTTCAAAATTTTAAAAATGCATATTATTCTTTGTTTCAATGCAAGTTCAATGCCGTATAGCATTTGGCATTTGGATTATCCGTCTTAGAGTTACAGCCCACCAAACTTGGGGCTGCAACGCAAGATCCAAAACATTTTATACACTATAACTCAAAAACCACTCATCTGATGAGCCTGAAATTGTTACAGGAGGATTCAGAGCCCCTGATTACCCCTTAGACCAATTATCGTTAAAATCCGATAGATGAGGGTGTCAAATTGGAAAAAAGTGGTACGATCTATCGTGGAATGCCCCTGCTTGTATATTTATGTCGGCATGTAATTGTGTACTTGACTCGAGCTACTTACCGTTTTTCCGCAAACCAGCAGCTTGATGTGCCACTTCTGTCAGTGTCACCTCATCTGTCACCTGCGCCACTTCCCTCACCTTCTCTGTCACTCTCTCTCTCCTCCTGCTCTGTCACTCTCTCCACTTTCAGACCGTCGCAGCACCAACTCTACATACACACGGATGTTGTTCCAGCCTCCAGCCCCTGGCGACTGAGGTGCGCCTCCCTCCCTCTCTCTCTCTCTCTCTCCCTCCTCTGCCACCCGCTAGCCGTGACCTTGACCCGGGTTGGCCCGGCGCACCCCGCTGCTTCTCCCAGCGCCGTCTCCGCCGCCAACGTGCATGTATTACCCATATTTCACCCAGGAACTTGCAGCGGGTGGATTTTGTGCACGCGAGGCGTTAGGAATTGATGGATGATTTTCCAGACCCTCCATCTATCTTAGAGGCTAGAGTTATAAACTTGGTTAGCAGCAGGCCCTCTAACCGTTAGGTTCATCAGTTTGTTCAGGATTTGCCTTGGTGTCTAGACAGACAGACAAGGACAATAGCTGACCCTCGTTATGCTTACTGTTAAATCGGGTCATAACACAAGATTTCAATGGTGGCAATAAGATGGTGGAAGCGGCTCACGGCTTGGCGTTGAAGAACTTCTATGATATGAGAGTTATTGGTGAGGGGTGGGGGGTGGGGGATTTAATCCTTCTTTTACGTAGGCATCAAGGTATTTATCGTTGCATAAACACGTTTTTATGTAGAGTTATGCAAAGGACAGTCGCATAAACATGACCTTTACTCTTCGTAGGGATGGCATCAAAGATGATACCGGGCTTTCTGATCCTCAACTTTGCTTCACCTTAGTAAAGTTTAAAACAATATCAAGTCTGGGTAAAGCTTTTAAAAAAAAAAATATTAGGTAAGTATGGGTGCGCGTGACTGCCCACCTGAAGGCTTCAGTAGACGATTTGCATTACTTTGTCGTATGGTGACTAGCCAGGTCCTAAGACATATGCATTAGATATAAGTTGCAAGGCTATAGTACCGATCTCCGTCGGTATTTCGATTAAAAAAGTTATGTAACCAATACGAAATACCTACCAGGTCAAATGATTAGCATTCTTCCACTTTACTAAATCCAAAACTAAACACACTTTGAACCAGCATTTCCACGAACGAATCTGCTGACTCTGGCCCCGAGTAATTTACGATGTTGCTGCTATTCATAACAACCCCGCCTCGTGCCGGCGTCAGTGCATGGAAATCGACTACAACTGCCACATTATGAAACTACAACTGCAGGCATCGACCATTCGAAGGCGCCTCTGTGCCATTTTCGCCCCGGGCGATTAGCCCCGTGACCTTCATGGCGCCACGCCACCCCGTCGTACCCGGTTTGTATGTCTGTGTGTCTGTGGATGTGTGTGGAGCTGGCTGCCTGGGTAGTCAGTGTAGGTGTCATGACTACCTGACTCCAAATACCGGCGCGGTGAACGGCCAGGGCAGGCAGGACCGGGCGCGGTCGACCCACCCCTTTACACAGGGTGAGTGTCGCGAGTATAGCCTCCGGCGCTTTGGTAGAGTACCATACACGAGTGTGAGTTGGGACGTGGTAACTGGCATCCCTGTGTAGAGGCTACAGAGAGTGTCAGAGGCCGCTGATCTCCAGTGACCCGTGACCTCACCAGGTCACAGAGGCAGATATGTCGAGGACCATTCTGCTTCTTTTGGCTACTGCAGGTGAGGACTAAGTATAAGTACAACATTTAAGTATCGCGATTGTCTTGGTGTGTACCGTGCTCTATAAGATAAATAAGATTGGAATATATTCTTTGTGTATTATGTTTATTGGGTTAACGACTGAGTATTAACATTAGCCAATACCTACGCGCGTGAAAAGCCAGAAAGTTATCGAAAATTGGTGGTCGGACTTGTATACAGGAACATCTTTCAAAAGTTCGTTATATTTAAGATCGAAAGGGAGAAGAAGCGTTCATACAATTATTGCAGGTACACATTGAGCTTGTGCCGCACCTAAAATTTTCATTTCGCTCTCGCTGCAGCTGTGCTACAACACGGTTCTACTCAGGACGACTATAGCTATTACGACGACAGCTACTACTACTACTACGATAGTTCCTACGACTACTACAGCGACTACTATAGCGACTACAGCTACAGCTACGACTATAGCTACAGCTATGAAGACGACACGACAACCGGCGAAGCAGGTACTTCTGTAGCCTCTCCCAAGGACCCGGTGGTCACTACAGTAGCCTCTCCCAAGGACACGATGAAAACTACCGTTCCGTCGACCGGGAAGCCTGCAAATTCTGTTGTAACTAAATCAACTACCGCCCCCACTAAAACTACAACCACTAAAACAAGCGTTTCCAAGGGATTGACTACCGCCCCTGCTAAAGCTACAACCACTAAAGCAAGCGTTACCAAGGGATTGACTACCGCCCCTACTAAAACTACAACCACTAAGGCAAACGTTCCAAAAGGTGAGGCGTAAAGCACAAAACAGAAAACAGCAATGCCATCGCTTCTGAAGATTGCTGAGCATTGCACGTTTGTGCCTCGCCCTGCTTATCTTATCTGCAATGGATGACATATCAAGCTGCTTTGCTATACTAAATTGCGACCAGGCTAGCTAGAATTTAGATTCCGGACATTCCGGGTCCAGAAAGCTAATTATCAGACAGCTCTACGAGTTTTACAACCGCTCACCGATTTTCTTGCGCACTGAGTTTGTCCCCACGCTACACACGTCTTTGGAAAGTATCCCTTGAACTTAACACATAATTCGAATGATTTTAAGAGTGGCTTGTTTTGTCCATTGCTGTACATACAGACTATGCCAATGTCCATGTTAATAATGATTGATTTTATTTTTGACTTTGGAGTTTAGACTTCATAAACGTATTTCAACGTGCATAGAAAAATAGTGCCCAATGTTTCATTTGTTTGCCTGTCATCTTACCTACACATGATATTTGATAAAAAATGGCCTTTGATTGCTTTGTGCATCCATTTACGAGTTGTGTTACTTCTCATCAACCATAAACGATCAATATAGAAATACGGTTCAAAAGATCATTTTGCCCATTTTTCCACAGCTGCCGCTGCTCCAGCCCAAACGACCAAATCTACCGCGACTACAAAGGCGACCACAACAACCAAAAAGCCGACCAGCACAACCAAAACGACGACCACAACCAAAGCAGCGACTACGAAGCCAACAACTAAGGGAACCACGGCCAAGTCAAATGTTCGGCCAAAAGCGGCCGCCAGTGGCCCTCAAAAAACGACACCAGGCGGTGGGGCCAGCGGTCTCCGGAGCTGCGGTGAGGAGAGAGAGAGAGAGAGAGAGAGAGAGAGAGAGAGAGAGAGAGAGAGAGAGAGAGAGAGAGAAAGAGGAGAGAGGATGACTGATGAGAGACAGAAGGAACGAGAGAGGAAGAGAGTGAATCAATAAATCAGATCAACCAGTGAATGAATTAATGAATGAATGAATGAATGAATGAATGAATGAATGAATGAATGAATGTATGCATGGCATGGATAGAAAGGATATATCTTTAAGAACTAGTGAGATGGTGCCAGCACCCAAAGTGTTTTACCCTTCTGAATCCTGCTACTTTACTCTGTTCACAGGAGGTTACCAGATCGAACTGCTGTTCGGGCTTCTGATATACCGGATGGTGCACCAGTGAGCAAAACTCGCTAGCGTGAGCTTCTGTACACATGTTGTCGAACAGCCAGTTAAAGCGTCCATCCTAGAAAACTTGGCTACCCTAACTTGTGGTGTAAAAGGTCACATTTCAGAGCTGTTGATCTATTTTTGACGAGTGGGCTACGCGTTCGGCTGTTTTTTTTCATGTTTCGCTGCGGGCTAAAAAGTGAAAGAGGTGTATTTTGACAAGTTAGCGTAAATGTGCGTGACTCAAGTGTGTGTACGAAAGCACAACATTTATACATCAATCGCGAACTCAGACCGATTGCGCTGGTGGTAGGTATGCGAGAGAGGCTAATAGTACCCAGAAGTGCATAGTAATTCTACTCGGACTTTGCTTGCAATTAGAGCACAAAGCTGCGACCAGTTTGCAGCATTACTGAGCACTTACATAAAGATATGAGTCTCAATATGGATTGGTTATCGCATCAAATTTAATAGTCAATCAAAACATCGGGCACTACATTTGTTTTTATAGGAATCATAAGTCAATTATTTTCTTTTTCGGTTAGGCCCAGTGTCCATTGTAGAAAGGCAGCTGACAACTCATGCATATGCTCTGTGTATATAATTCTTTATTGTCGATCGCCAGACGGTAGACACGGCTGTCGTTTGTGCGATGTGTACCAAAGCTCGAGACACTCGAGCCTAATAACAGGTTATCGTACAGTAATAACAGGTTATCGTAGATCATTCGAAAGCTCCGACCCGAACGATTTCTTGTGGAGTTAAGTCCTCATTCACTTATTACGATAGATCATCGCGTAGCAATTCACCAGACACATTTTAGCCTCTCACATATCAACTATACATGTCTTGGAACTTCTTGTAAGGTCCCAATACTGTTCATTCTCAATATATGCGCTTGTCTCGGTTTTACCATTAGGTATGTAATGTTCTTTTGATTGTTTTCGCGGCGGATTGTCCATTTGGCACCAGAGCTGTATAGATAAGTGAGATATTTAGAAATATTATAAGAAGTAAAGAATGTACTGGTTTTGGATTGATTTAGACCTAGCGATGCAGTATAAAAGACTCTAATTGGTACCAGAGCTATTCTTCGTTACAACGGTACCTCCAACCCTGCATCATCGAAATAATGCTTTGTTATTCGTGTGAAGGTGCTGCTCAGAGCTCGTTTGTCGCCAATAATATACGTCCAGCAAATGTTGACGTTCGCTTTCGTTTTGCATTTGATTGTCTTACATTTTCATGATAATAGGTATGATCTTTCAATCCCCCAGCTTCTTTGTCTTTGCAACAGCCTGCCAGTGCATGACTAAATCAGAACAAAATGGCGGGCACCCAACGCTCTCACGTTACTCTTCACCATCTGTCACGGCTGTCACCCCTCCGACTCGCGGACACGCCCGGTCTCGATCGAATCCTGTATTCAACTGCCGGCCGGCGGCCGCCGGCCCCCAGACCCAGGTCACTGGGCCGCCGGCCAGAGGCGCGCTCAGGTCCATACGGGGGGGAGGCCTGACTTGCCTGACATTACCCCCTCCCACGTATGCAGACACGTGTAACCAAACAGGACATACACTCGGCTTATCACTAGCGGATCGAGTCAACAGAACAACAGCACTCAGGTACATCGCCATGGTTAACCAAACACGTTGCGGGCATGTGACACTTTCAAATGCTTCATGTGAACACGTCTCATCCGTCCCGCCTTCTCCAGAACGTCGACGTGCCTACGGCCGTGCAGCGCCACGACGGTGTACGGCCCCAGCCAAGGAGGGCACATCTTTGTACGCGCCCCCACATTACGCAGCCACACTTGTTGCCCGGGGCCCAGCGAGGGTTCTTTTACATGATGTCGCCTGTCGTATTGGTTTTTGTACGAGTCAGCACTGCGATCGCGCTGGCGCCTAGCATTCTCGAACACGGAGGACAAAAGACGAAGCTTTTCCGTCACATAGTTATGCGAGTAGCGGTTCCTCGGAGTCTGTGACAACGCATCTAACGTGCAGTGTGGGTGACGTAAGAAATACACGAAAAATGGGGACAGCCCTGTGGTGCTGGACAGCTCATTATTCAAGGAAAATGTGATGCCAGGTAGACGCTCTTCCCAATCAGCGCCCAAAACATCTGAGCTCGCCCTCAGCCGCCGTTTGACATCTAAGTGTTTTCTTTCTATTTTGCCCACCGCCTCGTGATGGTAGCCGACGCTGGCTCGAGTCTGTGTCCCAAAGTGTTCACACAACTCCATCACCTGGGCACTTTTAACGAGATTGGAGCCTGCGTCACTTTCAATGACCTCTGGGGGTCCGAATAATAGGAAGTGTTCGGACAATTTCTGGGCCACGTGATTAGCACTTCCTGAGTCTAAGGCATAACACCACAGGAAACCAGAAAATTTGTCAACACAAGTCAAGACCAACGATCGGCCAGTGACGACACTTTTAGGCATGGAAACAATGTCAATAACGAGGATCTGGTTTGGCCAGTCGGCATGCTGTGGAAGCAATGGTGGGCTTTGTGCTGTCGATCCCTTCCTTTGGGCACAGCGATCACAAGATCGAACGTAGTCCACACAGTCCGCTCGCATGCCCGGGTACCACGCGTGTCGAGCTATCAGATTGTACATTTTGGCGGGTCCGCCGTGCGCGTGATCTGATGTGTCGTGGTGTGTGTACAATAGCTCGTACCTTTTCGACAGGGGCCAAACTACCTGAGAGGCCCCGTCCTCGCTCGAATGGCGATAGATCAGCCCTTCATGCAAGCGGAAGTCCGTTGCGGGCTGCCCCTTTAGATACGGTGGGGCGTACCGTGGCCATCTACCGTGGTTTAAACGGTGAGCGATGGCCCGGCAGTTACGATCGTGGCGCTGATACCATCTGAGGGTGTCCGGCTTGAGAGGCAACTGTACGAGACGGTCAGCAGCCGTGACGTTTACCTCCCGAGCCCCCTCACTGCCGTGGAGCCGGCCGCCAGACGAGCGGGCGGCGGTCGGCCCCTCCGATTGGGCGGTCGGCCCCCCCGACGAGTGGGCGGCGGACGGCCCCTCCAACGAGTGGGCGGCGGACGGCCCCTCCGACGAGTGGGCGGCGGACGGCCCCTCCAACGAGTGGGCGGCGGGCGGCCCCTCCGACGAGTGGGCGGCGGGCGGCCCCTCCAACGAGCGGGCGGCGGGCGGCCCCTCCGACGAGTGGGCGGCGGACGGCCCCTCCGACGAGCGGGCGGCGGGCGGCCCCTCAGTCGAATCCTGATCGTTTACCTCCCGAGCCCCCTCACTGCCGTGGAGCCGGCCGCCAGACGAGCGGGCGGCGGTCGGCCCCTCCGATTGGGCGGCCGGCCCCTCCGACGAGTGGGCGGCGGACGGCCCCTCCAACGAGTGGGCGGCGGGCGGCCCCTCCGACGAGTGGGCGGCGGGCGGCCCCTCCAACGAGCGGGCGGCGGGCGGCCCCTCCGACGAGTGGGCGGCGGACGGCCCCTCCGACGAGCGGGCGGCGGGCGGCCCCTCAGTCGAATCCTGATCCCGATCACCATGCAGCCGTGACAGCATGTCGACGTGCTGCATCTGGCTAGCCCTCCTGTGCTCCGTACTGAAGTGAAATTGGCTAACGAATGCGCGCCATCGCACAAGCCTCGGATTAATATGATCTTGGTTAGAAAGGATCTGTAAGGCGCTACGGCAGTCACAGATCCATGTGAATTCAACATCTGCCAGATATCTGAAAAACTTCTTTAATCCCTGAATGAAACTGAAAACCTCTAACTCGTAAATAGTCCATTTGCGCTGTGCCTTACTATATCTATTGCCATTGAAAGCGACTACGCGTTCAACCCCATCCTGTATCTGACATAGGATCTGTCCGGCACCGGTGGCACTACTATCAGTGTACAGGATGAACCGACCGTCTCTGCGGGGGTAGCTGAGAACCCGGTCACTCAACATTTCCGACTTAAGACGGCCAAAACACGCTTCTAACCGATCGTTCCAAAAGTATTTATCCGAGTTGCACAGGACTACGAGGGGCTCAGCCAGACTACTGAAGGATGGAATGAACTTCCTAAACCACGAGAAGAACCCGAAAATTCGTTTGGCCTCCTTGATACTTCTCGGAAAGGACAAGTCTCTGACGACTCTGACTCGTTCAGGGTCGATGCTAATGCCCTGGGGGGTGATGCGATGACCTAGGTAGGTCAACTCTGTTTGGAACAGGCGACATTTGTCTGGTGCCACCTTAAGGCCAGCAGCGCGCAACCTGTCGAAGACGGTGTGAAGGAGCGCGAGATGCTCATCCAAGCTTTCACTTACGCACAAAATGTCATCAGCGTACACCCGAACGCCGGGCACATCCCCCAAGACCTTGTGCATGGCGGCATGGAGAAAATACGACGACTGAGAGCAGCCCATTGGCATTCGTGTTGGATAATACGTCTTGCCCAGTGTATGGAACGCGCATATGTTGCTAGACGCGTCAGACAAGTGCAAATTCCAGAATGCGTGCTTGATATCTAGACTGGACGCGATTTTCCAACCATCTAGTGAGAAAATAAAATCATCAATGTTAGGAAAAACAAATGTCTTGGGTACTAACAGTTTGTTGAGATTGCGCATATCCTGGGTAATCCTGAATTCACCACTACTTTTCGTGACTAGGATGACAGGTGAATTCCAATCTGAAGGGCCTCCCTCTTCGATGATACCACAGCCCTGCAACTGATCAAGCTGGGCCTTCAGTTGGGCCTCGCGCGCCCATGGGATGGGATACGGCTTGGTGAAAACAGGACGAGCGCCGGGCTGCAACTCTAAGTCTACGACGCTATCACGATACAGACCAATATCGGCATACCCTCTCGAAAACACTTCCGGGTAGGACGATAGCAGAGCGGCTAATTTATCACGCTGAGAGCCAGTTATACATTCCCCGACAACAAAATCGGACAGAATCTCGTCTGTCGCCTTACCCACGTATCTGCCGTCATCCGCCGATACGGTGTTAACGTGGGCTGCGCAGTGGTCAGCATTCCTGGGTGTGGGACACGGTTCACACGGCTCAACCAGGCCCTCGAGCGCTTCAACATATCCTACAACACTGCGCCGGTGGAACGTGATAGTGCGGTCGGAGCGATTACGAACATAAAGTGGGATCTCTGCGTCGGAAAACGGCGTAATTAACGAGTCACATATCTCTACATTGTCTGATCGTTGACCGACAAACAAATACTCGCTCCCGCACGACAGCTTCTGGTCTACTTTCACCGCGAGACAAACAGCGGAATGTGCGGGCACAGTCACTGGGTTCTTAATTCTAATCTTAAGCTGCGACCCAACTTCTCGGCCGGCTCGTGAGCAATCAAATAATACGTTATTCCCCGACAAAAAGTCCCATCCCAACACCACGTCGTGCCGCAGATCATGGACCACCACGAACTCAGTGTCTCTCTGTCCACCAGTGGTACCCATGATCCTCACGGGCAATTTACACGTACCCTGCGTATCAAGTTCATGTCCCGATGCGGAAACTAGGCGAGCAGGCGGCGTCAGGGTTGAATTCGGCGCGATAATACTGAAGACGCGGCTGTCTATTAGCGACACCTGACTGCCGGAGTCCACCAGAGCATCACTAACTACAAACCCATTGATAGATATGCGAGCGGTCGGTAGACTCACCACTCGGCTGCCAGCCTGCCCGCCCGCTCGTTTGG